CATCAATTTTTTTTAAAAAAATGGAGTTTTACAACTTTTTAAATGTAGTTGCTTAAAAATAAAAGCATAATTTCTTAGAATTTTCCATATGAATAGTGAATATTTAAAATTAGAAACTTTAATTTTCTTGTTTCCTAGTTCCTTAAAAAGAAATTTAGAACACATAAAATTATATTTTATTTTGCTTCTAATTTTTTAACAACATTAACTTTACAAGGTGGATATATAAATAATAGCATTTGAAAAATAACTTCATTTTTCATGGAACTTTGAAAAGTGCACAGATTATAATGACAATGCATTTGACTGACTGGTGTTGGGAAACAGAAATATGTATCAACTATAGTTGGAGTAATTTTTCTTTGTTGAGGAGAACATCAACATCAAATACAATGTTTATTTGTAATTTCTCCATTCTAATTTCCAGTTAATTGCTTCTCAAACAAGCATTTTAAAATCCGCATCCCCAAAATAATGAGAGGAATACTGTTTACACTTACACTAAATTTTCTCCTTTATTATTTTCTTTAATGGTATCTTCAGAAAATGTCTATAAATGCATATCCTATTCCATTAATTATCCAGTAGTTTTTTAAATCTGGCTTATATCTGCTTAATAGTTATTGCTTCTCCCAAGAGGCTGAGAGTTTTTAAATCTCACTGCCTAGTAGATGGAAAAGTGCTAAGCATATAAGGATGCATTCTGAGTCCCCACTACGTGAAAGAAAAAAATTCACGTAACATATGTGCTATTTTCCTATAAAAGACTTCTAAAATATGTTTTTTCCCCCTTGCTTTGCTAAGAAAACACACTAGCAACAAATGATAAAAGAATATAATGAAGTTCTGGAAAGACTTTGATATGCCCCTAATGTAAGGAAGTTCATGTATTTGAACCATGTTATAGGTTATTTTTTGATGGTTTAATCTATGTGACAAAAATAATTATCTTTTACGACTCTTAACCTGTATCCAGACATGCTATATAATAAAAACCTACTATACTAAGTGTCTGGTTGGCTGTTCAACCAATCAAAGTGTAATATGCTAACGATATGCTAAGGCCGCTCAACTGCTCGCTATAATGTGCACTGACCACCAGGGGCAGACAGTCGACTGGTAGGTTAGCTTGCTGCTGAGGTCTGGCTGATCAGGACTGAGTGAGATGGGCCAGACATGCCCTGGAGCTCTCCTGCAGTCCCTCCCTGGCTGGCCGACCTCCTGTGTCTCTCCCCAGCCCTGATTGTGCACTGGTGGGGTCCCTTGGCCTGGTCTGCACCCTCTCGCAATCTGGGACCCCTTGGGGAATATCAGAGAGCCAGTTTCGGCCCAATCCTTCAGGCCAGCCTGAGAGTACCCACTGGTGCATGAATTCGTGCTCTGGGCCTCTAGTCTATGATAACAAAAGGGTAATAATATGCTAATTAGACCAGATGTCTTCCCGATGTCATTCCAGACATCCTTCCTTACCAAACCAGGGCAGAGGGAAGCAAGTCTGGGTCCAATGCCTGCGGGCAGCTGGAGGAGGGAAGCAGCCCAGGTCTTGGGTGCCAGAGGAAAACCAATGCTGGCTGCCAGGAGAAGGAAGACCTGCACTTGCATGAATTTTCATGCATCAGGCCTCTAGTATGCATATACTTACAGGTGTATTTCAGAGATATTGTGGATTTGGTTCTAGGCTACCAGGATAAAGTATTATAATAAAGCAAGTTGTAATCTTCCTGTTGATGGAGGGTCTTGCCTTCAATTTATAGAAAAATGCAACATTTGTAAAGTGTGATAAAACTAGGTATACTTGCATTGTGGTTGAGTGCTATTCTTGTTTATACTAAACTTTCATCACAGCCCCTCTAGTAATCTGATTGAACTGAAGGTGTCAGTAAGGTTATTTTTACAGGTACTTCACTTAAAATGTGGGAAGTTGATCTGCAGTTCAGAAAGTCAGGAAAGAATAGTCTGGAAGCCAATGTCATCTCAAGGCATCTGAGGGGGGAAAAGAAAGATAAGGTCTGGCAGTGATGGCTGAGAAATCCAGAACTATTTTGGGCTTTGCATGAGGAGAGCAGGAAACATATCACTCCCATCCATAGATGATGGAGAGATCATACCTGGAATTCAATTTGCTGTTTTGTAAACTTTTAGAAAAAAACATTGGTGGAGATCCAGAAATGAGAAATAATAGTGATCAAGACACTAAATAATTGATTTGTTAGCAGAGATTAAGGCAGCTAATGTGTTCAGTTAAGTGAAGATGAAGTGGGTCTGATAACACTCCCCAGGTATTTGTGAAGCCTAAATGAAGAGAGGACAGCTTTAGCTTAGCCAAAAAGGAGATGGCTTTCAAAGAAATAAATTCCAAGAAACTAATTAGAAAATATCTCTGAATATTTTTTTCAATGGAAATATTAATTTTGACAAAGCAGTAACTGTAAAGATGATTTTATAAAATGAATGACATTGCTAGCTTTTTGAAGTTACGATTCAATTTCTTTTATTTAAAAATATATTTTATTGATTTCAGAGAGGAAGGGAGAGAGAGAGATAGAAACATCAATGATGAGAGATAATCACTGATTGGCTGACTCCCACACACTCCCTACTGGGGATTGAGCATGCAATGTGGGCATATTCCCTGATGGGGAATCGAACCATGATCTCCTGGTTCATAGGTAGACACTCAACCACTGATCCACGCTGGCCAGGCTCATAAGGCAGTTTCATTTTTACTTTTTTGAGGAAACTCCATACTGCTTTCCACAGTGGCTGCACCAGTCTGCATCCCCACCAGCAGTGCATGAGGGTTCCCTTTTCTCCACATCTTGCCAACACTTGTTGCTTGTTGATTTATCGATGATAGCCATTCTGACAGGTGTGAGATGGTATTTCATTGTGGTTTTAATTTGCATTTCTCTGATGATTAGTGATGGCCATCTTTTCATATGTCTACTGGTTATTTATATTCAGGTCCTTTGCCCGTTTTTCAATTGGATTGCCTGTTGTTTTTTTTTATTGTTGAGTTTTATAAGTTCTTTATAAATATCAGATCTATAATTGTTGAATATGTTCTCTCATTCAATGTGTTGTCTTTTCATTTTGTTCATAGTTTTCTTTGCTGTGCAAGAATTTTTTAGTTATAAGTTTTTTTCTCTTTTGTTTCCCTTGACTGAGGAGATATAAAAGAAAAAATATTGCTATGAGAAATGTCTGAGATTTTACTACTTATGTTTTCTTATAGGATTTTATAGTTTCAAGTCTAACATTTAAGCCTTTAATCCATTTTGAGTTCATTATTGTGTATGGTGTAAGAAAGTGGTGTAGTTTCATTTCTTTTGCAGGTATCTGTCCAATTTTCCAAACAGCTTTTATTTAATGTACTATCTTTACCTCATTATATGTTTAGGTCTGCTTTGTCAAATATTAATTGACCATAAAAGTGTGGGTTAATTTCTGGGTTCTCTATTCTGTTTCACTGATCTATATGTCTGTTTTTATGCTAGTACCTTGCTTTTTTAAAAAAATGTATTTTTATTGTTTTCAGAGAAGAAGGGAGAGGGAGAGGGAGAGAGAGAAACATCAACAATGAGAAAGAATCATTGATAGGCTGCCTCCTGCATGCCTTACACTGGGGATGGAGCTGGCAATCTGGGCATGTGCCTTGTGATGTGGTTCATAGATCAATGCTTAACCACTGAGCCATGCTGGCCGGCCATGTACCTTGCTATTTTGATTATTATATTCTTGTAGTATAGTTTGTTATCAGGTAGCACGATTTCTCCCACTATGTTCTTCTTTCTCAAGATTGCTGTGGCTATCTGGGGTCTTTTGTGGTTCCACAAACATTTTTGGAATATTTGTTCTACTTCTGTGAAATACACCATTGGTATCTTTATAAGAATTTTATTGAATCTATAAATTGCTTTGGGTAGTATGGACATTTTAATGATATTTATTCTTCCTATCCACTTCTACAGTATATGCTTCAGCTTATTTGTATCTTCTTCAAATTGCTTCCTTCAGTGTCTTATGATTTTCTGAGTACAGGTCTTTACATTCTTGGTTAAATTTATTCCTAGGTACTTTTTTATGCCATTATAAATGGGATTGTTTTCTTAGTTTTTCTTTCTGATCACTTATTATTGGTATACAGAAATGCAACTGATTTCTGGATGTTTATTTTGTTTTCTGCTACTTCACTGATTCATTTATCAGTTCTAGTAGTATTTTTGGTAGAATCTTTAGAGTTCTCGATATACAGTGTCAGGTCACCTGCAAATAATGACAGTCACACTTTATTTCCAATTTGGATGCGTTTTATTTCTTCTCCTTGTCTGGTTGCTGTGGCTAGGACTTTCAGTACTATATTGAGTAAGAGTGGTAAAAGTAGACATCCCATCTTTTTCCTGATCTTAAGGAAAACAATTGTAGTTTTTGCCCATTGAGTATGATTTTGGCTGTGGGTGTCTCATATATGGCCTTTAATACATTGAGGTATGTTCTCTCTATTTCCACTTTGCTGAGAGTTTTTATCATAAATGGGTGCTGGATTTTATCAAATGCTTTTTCTGCATCTACTGATATGATCTTGTTGTTTTAATCCTTTTCATTTTGTTTATGTGGTGTATCACATTTATTAATTTTGCTGATATTGTACCAACCTTGTATCTTTGGAATAAATTCCTCTTGATACTGATGTATGACCTTTTAAATATATTGCTGAATCTGGTTTGCTAATATTTTGGTAAGGATTTTAGCATCTACGTTCATCAGGTATATTGACTTACAATTTTCTTTTTTTGTCAGTATCTTTATCTCATTTTAGAATTAGGTTAATGCTGGCCTCACAAAATAAGCTTGGGAGTCTTCCCTCCTCTTGAAATTTTTGGAATAGTTTGAGCAGGATAGGTGTGAGTCCTTTTTTGAATGTTTGGTAAAATTCACCTGTGAAGCCATTGGATCCAGGACTTTTGTTTTTTGGGGGATTTTTTTTTTAATATATTTTATTGATTTTTTTACAGAGAGGAAGGGAGAGAGATAGAGAATTAGAAATATTGATGATAGAGAAACATTGATCAGCTGGTTCCTGCACACCTCCT